TTTTTCTTAGGCACACAAGCATTAAGTAAAAATTACAACAGAACCCAACTTTGCCCAATAAGTATGATAGCAGTTCTTTTTTTATTTAATTCTTTAATTTTATTTATTTATTTATTTATTTATTTTTTGAGACAGGGTATCACTCTGGTTGCCCAGGCTGGAGTGCAGTGGTGTGATTTTGGCACACTTCAGTCTCTACCTCCTGGGCTCAGGTGATTCTCCCAACTCAGCCTCCCAAGTCGCTGGGACTACAGGTGCACGCCACCACGTCCAACTAATTTTTTGTATTTTTAGCAGAAACGAGTTTTCACTATGTTGCCCAGGCAGGTCTTGAACTCCTGCACTCAAGCAATCTGCTGGCCTTGGCCTCCCAGATTGCTGGAATTACAGGTATGAGCCACCATGCCTGGCCTTGAATGTTTTAATAAAAAAATTTTTTTCTTCAGAATATCACTCTGTCGTATTTTATCTAATTTTGATGGTAATTAAATAAATACTTTTTTGAGTAGGTAGTACCTTCACATGGCTTCAAATTCAAAGGGTACAAAAAATATAGTGAAAAGTTTCCCTCCTATCCTTGTCTTCAAGGCCCTCAGTTTCTCTTCCCCAAGAAGCACTCAATGTTACCAGATACTTAGGTATCCTTCCAGAGACATTTCATAACATATATACAAGTAAATACGCGCGCACGCGCGCGCGCGCGCACACACACACACACACACACACACACACACACACTTTGAATATATGTTCTGCTTCCTTCCCCTATTTGTTATACAGATGACAGCACTTAGACTGTTGGAGTTTAACAGCTGCTCTTCTGTATACTCAAGAATAGAGGGTTCTTGACCTAACAGTATTCCCTGGATTTTTTTTCTCCCTATTAGAATAGAACTTCTTCATTCTTTTTTGTATGGCTGAGCAGAGTATCCTATTGGAAGAATATACATTATTTTTTAAGTCAGTCTTTTATTGGAGGACATCTAGGTTGTTCCCAAATTTTTTCTGTTAAAAAGAATCTTGAAGTGAATATCCTTGTACATATGTCATTTTGCATCTGTATAAGTCTAGGTATAAGATAATTTACTGGCTGGGTGCAGTGGCTCATGCCTGTAATCCCAGCACTTTGGGAGGCAGAGGCAGGTGAATCACGAGGTCAAGAGATCATGACCATCCTGACCAACATGGTGAAACCCCAGCTCTACTAAAAATACAAAAATTAGCTGGGCGTGGTGGCACATGCTTCTAGTCCCAGCTACTTGGGGGGCTGAGGCAGAGGTTTCAGTGAGCAGAGATTGTGCCTCTGCACTCCAGCCTGGCAACAGAGTGAGCGTCCGTCTCAAAAAAAGAAAGAAAAAAAAAAGATAATTTACCAGAAGGGGAATTAATAGCTCAAAGGATATATGCATTTATAGTTTTGATATTGCCAAATTGCGCTCCCTTTAGCTAGTGCCAATTTGTATCCCCTCCAGGAACTGAACACCTGCTTTCCCAAACACAGTGTGTTGTCAATCTAATGTGTTAAAAATGACAATTACATGCAGTTTTAATTCGTATTTATCTACCTATGAGTGAGGCTGGGCATACTTTCATTATGTCTACAAGCCATTTATGTATTTTTTCCTCTAAATTTTTTGTTAATATCCTGGGTTCATAATTATTATTTTTTTCTTTTTTTTTCCTCACTGAGAAACCTGGGTTTGTAATTCTACTGGGTCACTGGTCTTTTTGCCCTGTTTTAATATTGCTTCTGATATTTTGCAGTTTTCATTAACAATAAACTTCTGAATATAAAACCTCAAACATATTCATTTAACTACTTAGCTTACCCTAGCCACAGCATCAAAGAGGCTTAGATAATGACATGAAATTTTCAATTACCTCATCCTGGGGAATGATAACTTGAACAAGCCCATGGAAATCTCTTAGGACCAAGAATGTGTTTTGCCTGATTAATGGAAAGAAAAAAAGGAATATTTAAAGATAAAATCTCTAAGCCTAAAGTTTAAATACACAAATAACAAAAATCCATGCAATTTCTCATGTTTCTTTTTTATGATAATGATGTACCTTTTTTTTTTTTGAGATGGAGTTTCGCTCGTTACCCAGGCTGGAGTGCAATGGCACAATCTCGGCTCACCGCAACCTCCACCTCCTGGGTTCAAGCAATTCTCCTGCCTCAGCCTCCTGAGTAGCTGGGATTACAGGCACGTGCTACCATGCCCAGCTAATTTTTTATATTTTTAGTAGAGACGGGGTTCCACCATGTTGTCCAGGCGTCTCGAACTCCTAACCTCATGATCTGCCCGCCTCGGCCTCCCGAAGTGCTAGGATTACAGGCATGAGCCACTGTGCCCAGCCTGATAATTATGTACTTTCATTAGTTACATTTCATGCAATTATCTATATAGCTCATTGTTGAAAAATAATTGTTTTATATTTGTTTCAATTTTTATTGTCTACTTACATGGCTTATTAATCTTATACAGATGGCTTATTAATGAAAAAGTATTATAGATTGAAAATTTTCATTGGCCTAAGTCCTTATAAGAAAATTTTATTAAATTTGGAAATTTTGCATACAGTAAAACCCAAAGATAGTATTTTAGGATAATAGAAGCATCTGATGGATCATTTTTAAAATACAGCAATATAAAGTCCTTTTCTAATAAAAGACACAATTTAAAATTTTCTGGAAGAGTTCCAACTGCTAATTTAATACCTCTCTATGAATCATCAAAAGGTCCCAGAAGTGCTCACATTTTAACATCCAACCTCTATTTCTCATACTGTCCTCAGTACCAGGGAACATGTACAGAAAGCCTCTTCAGATTTGGGTTCAGGAAACGAAGTCACTAAACTTATGGGGTAAATATCCACCTACTTCGGACATATTCGTTTTGTTTGATTGTTTGTTTGTTTTTGAGATGCTCTATAGCCCAGGATGGAGTACAGTGGCGTGATCTCTGCTCACTGAAACCTTTGCCTCCCAGGTTCAAGCAATTCCCTGCCTCAGCCTCCTGAGTATCTGGATTATAGGCGCCCGCCACCACACCGGGCTAATTTTTCTATTTTTAGAAGAGACAGGGTTTCACCATCTTGGCCAGGCTGGTCTTGAACTCCTGACCTCGTGATCCACTCGCCTTGATCTCCCAAACTGCTAGTGGTGTGAGCCACTGTGCCTGGCCTGGACATACTCTTTAAGAAGATCATATAACCTATGTATCTTGGATTTCATCCATGTGAATTAATGTACTATTCGGGTATGCTCTGGAATAGAGAGATGAACAACAACAAAAATATGGGCTCTGATCTTAAGGAATCACTGTTTATGTTTCTAGGCTTGCTCTCTACCTAAATTGAATAAAATGAGCTTTTGCCCCATGCTTTTGGAGTTTAACAATTGGTTTATAGGAGGCTGGCCTATTTTTAATTACTGGTCATAGGAACTCTTCAGTCTTAGTAAGCTCAATGTCATTTCAGTACACTGGTGAATCAAGCTTCATTGTTATACCCTTCAATAGATGTTACTGGTACCTACTAAGAATGACACTCTGTCACCTGGGTCTTTGAAAACTAAAACAAAGTTGAAAATTCAGTAAGTTCTTAATTCTGCAGGAGTTGCAAAATGTTTTATTCTTCAGACTGGTTATAAATTAGTAAGGTTTGGAATTGCCCTGGGAAACAACCACTATGCATTCTTAGACTGTCTTCCTCAATTTACCTTCGGTACTGAATCCATCCACACAAGGTGACTTCTTGGCCTAAGTGAGATGAACGCAGCTCTCCACATGTGTTGGTCCGGACAACAAAGCTACTGTATTCTTTAAAAAAAGAAAAGAAAAGAAAAGAAAAGAAAAGAAAAGAAAAGAAGCTTTAAAAGGCAAGATTAAAAATACATCGCTTGCAGGTTGCTTAAAAATAAAAATTCTCAAAATACATCTTAGGTAAGTTAGGGAAACAGGTAAACTTTATAAGTCAGAGTATGTAATTTAATTCACTCACTATTAAATTTACCTGCAAATATGTCAAAAGCCAAGTGAATAACTGAATGTAAATTTCTGTCTTGTGTTAGCAAATCTAAATTTTTGGATCATCTAGCATTTGCATTGATTTAAATCCTAATTACCCAATTCTTAGTACTTCACATTTCTTCTCCAAATGAAATAGGATTTTAGAAACTGCAGAAATGGATGGTGCAGGAACTATTTAGTTTTAGTATGAATCCAGCATTTAACAACCACTTGTACACTAGAGAACACTATTATAATTCTGTGAAAAAAGATTTTTAAAGGCATCAGCCAAAAGCTGAGTATTCTATATATTACGTGGTTACCTTTTTGTGGTCTTTCTAAAAACCCAGGGGGGAAAAACCTGCATTATAATGAATGAAGAGAGTGAACGATCTGCTTCTACACAGAAGGCTATCCAGTTAAGAACTGGGGGCGGGGAATGAAATAAAAGCTCTCTGGCCGTAGGTAACAGACTGAAGTACTGTTCAGAGAACAGATCTCTTCGCTATTTTCACCTGGATTTCTCCTCTGTGAACTCAGCATCAGACTTCTGGAGAGAGAACCCCAGATGGGTTGGGTGGTCCTTCTAATGGGTCTGGATAAACCCCTGTACAGCTGACTTAACCAAGAAGAGAAGTACATGTTGGAGCCACAGGATAGCGAAAAACAGTCACGAATCCCACGCTGCCGGTAGTTAAATGCCGGTTTTGGAGATACAGAAATCCCTTAAAATTCCAGGAGTTCCTACTCTCTTCTCGAATATCTAAGTCCTCCTCCGCACAACATTCGAGTACACATGTCTAGAAACAAGACAAATCTGCAGGTTCTTTGGGGCCCTTGATGGGGTGGAGACAAGGGAAAGGCCTTTCCCCGAGTCTTAAAGCATCAGTTTCCACTTCTATTCAACAAGTCGACAGCCAAAAGTGACGACGAGAGAGCGACCCCACGTAGCAAGGCCAGGCGCGAGCCCAAGACCACCCAGAGGCTGTCACGAGGCCCACGCCCTTCCCTTCTTTCTACGCTTCCCGACAGGCTCCCGCTGCCCGAACCGGGAAACAAGGAGGAATAGTCTCGCGTTTCAAATTTCGCAGACCTGCTGGCCGATCTTGAGCCTTCTGAAAGAGGAAGGCGAACAAAGCAAAAAAGCTAAACGCTCCTAGGACCGCAACCCACACACAGATCACTGCTGAGGTCCAAGCGCCCTTCAATCGGCCCGCGAATGCAGAGGATTACGGGGAAGGAATTCAACGAATCAGTGCTGAGGTGCCGCCGCCATGATTACTAAGGGCGGAAATTTGAGAGAAAGCTTCGCGCCGGTAGAAAAACTGACGAGCAACCGAGCGGAATTGGAAAGGTTGGCGATAGTCGTTAAGTGGCTCGGCCTTGCCCTCAGTTAAAATGGCAATTTTAGTTGCTTCACTGTTAACGGAATAGGCGGGGCGCCAAGGAGGCTTCCTGCGTGGGGCCGCAGGGCGAGTCGGGAAACTATTTTAAACTCTAGAGGCGGTGGAGGGCCGAATTGCCGTTTCTCCATGGCGTAATTTCAGAGCTGGCCTGGGCTCTGACAGGCTCATCCGGAGTGGGACGGGTTGGGACGCACTGTCCTTTTGCCCTTCTCCCTCCGCGAGCAGAAGCTGACTCCGCTGGAGCGAGGGTCGCTGAGCTGGGTGAGCGGAAATGTCCCTCCCAGAGTGAAGTCGTAAGGCCCGCCCCGCGTCTGAGGGAGCGGAGGTCTTCCTGGGCGCGGTCGTGTCTCTGGTGAACTCACTTGCTGTGGAGCTAGAGGGAATTTGCGAGAGCCAGAGGTCACTCTGGCATCTCCCTTAGCTGTCATTTTGGCGTTTTTTGTTTTTGTTTTTGTTTTTTTTTTTTCCTTCAGGGGATTTCAGTCTCGACATGGTTTTGTAGCCGGACTTTGAAGAATGATTCGTGAATCCCGAATGGGTGACAGCGTCATTACGGCATTTTATTGGTAAAGATGCTTTGTATTGGTCTAGGAGCTGCTTTAAACTTTGCGTTTGCCCTGTTGTGTGGTCATTATCTTCACAATACTTGTGTGTTGAGGTGTGTTTACACACTACGTGCTTAACACCTGGCTAAGTATTGGCACTGGGGCGGTTGGATTTAGATGTTGGTGGCAATGTGGAAAAGTGTATCAAGTCAGAGCCCTTTCAGGGACTAACCACAAGAGAAACAAGAAAGTTTTCCTTGTGTGCTTCCACAATTGCAAGTGGAATTGGCAAGAGAACTAGCTAGCCTTGCCAAGCTCTGGAAAACTCCTGATGAGATGGCACTTGGAAAATGGATAACATGTGGTCACACAAATGGGAGTAGGGAAGTATTTTTAATTGGCGATAAGGTGAATAAAAAGGCAGGAAGAGCAGTAGGGTCATCATCTGTCTAGAGTAGGGTGTGCACGTTTGCGTATCGGGCAGTGATTCTTAACTTTTTAAATAATTGTCTACTGAAACTTTCTTCACTCCCACTCCCGCCCCTGCGCCCCCCACCCCCAACCTCCCAGTGTTGTATACAAAAACCTTAGGGGGATTGTATGCAGAATTTTGTATTTTGGAAAGTCTAATGTCCGTGGATCTTGGGGTAAGAGCTGAAGTAGTAGAAAATGAACCTGGATAGGAACAGATACAGTACTGCCTTGAAAGCCAGACGGAGGCATTCTGATTCAACTTCATATAGACATGTGGGAACTGTTACGGCAGCGTCTCAAGCAAGGTAATGATAAGATAAAAGTGGTGACTATGGAAAGACTGATAGTGAAAGGGGCTAAAATTGGGAACAAGATAAGTGGCTATAATTGAGAATGAAAGTGAAGCCCACATTTAAGAGGACAAGTATATATCTTTTAAAGAAATATGTCAGAGGCCAGGTGTGGTGGCTCATGCCTGTAATCCCAGCATTTTGGGAGTCCAAGGCAGGCGGATCACCTGAGGTCAGGAGTTCAAGACCAGCCTGACCAACATGATGAAACCCCATCTCTACTAAAAAATAAAAAAATTAGCCGGGTGTGGTGATACACACCTGTAGTACCAGCTACTCAGGAGGCTGAGGCAGGAGAATTGCTTGAACCTGGGAGGTGGAGGTTGCAGTGAGCCAAGATTGTGCGCCACTGTACTGTAGTGTGGGCGACAGAGTAAGACTCTGCCTCCCCTCTCCCCCGAAAAAAGAAAAAAAAAATATATGCGAATTTGATGATAAAGTTAATAAAGTTAGCTTTTTAGATGTAAAAGTGATGTTGAAGGAAGAGTAAAAGATGATGAAAGTTTTTTTTAGTGGGGGAAGAAAATGAAAAGGAAGAATGGAATTATTACTGAGCAAAACAGAGTACAGTAGTTGGCAAAAAAAAAAAAAAGTTTATGAGAATTCCCATTTCAGGTTCAGATGATTCACCAGATATAGGAGATGGTGTCCAGGGGAGATACAAGTAAGAGGACCTCTTTCTTTCCGATTAGAAGGAAGAGTATTGGGACAATAACATGTTGAGTTAAGATATATTTATAACCTCTTGATTGTTGTGCTGGGCAAAAGTACACATTCTTGAGTGTAAGTTGAGAAGGCAAAATAAGTATAAATCATTTACTAATCTTTAATTCATGGATTGGGCTATTTTATTTTACCTTAACATTAAATACTCAATGGACATGTTTTCTCAAAACCATCCCTCTTAGTGCTAATAGTCTTTTTCTCACCTAGATTTATTGCTACATTTTGTAAAGTCACCTAGACTTTAAAATGTTTTTGGAAATCATAGCATTTCTCTTTTAAGGAGTCAAATTCAGCAGGGTGGCCGGGCGCGGTGGCTCAAGCCTGTAATCCCAGCACTTTGGGAGGCCGAGGCGGGTGGATCACAAGGTCAAGAGATCGAGACCATCTTGGTCAACATGGTGAAACCCCGTCTCTACTAAAAATACAAAAAAAAAAATAGCTGGGCATGGTGGTGCGTGCCTGTAATCCCAGCTACTCAGGAGGCTGAGGCAGGAGAATTGCCTGAACCCAGGAGGCGGAGGTTGCGGTGAGCCAAGATCGCGCCATTGCACTCCAGCCTGGGTAACAAGAGCGAAACTCTGTCTCAAAAAAAAAAAAAAAAAAAAAAAAAAAATTCAGCAGGGCTTATGTTGCCTCATAATTGATCCCTATTTAAAAGGCAATGTGAAACAACATGTAGTTAAGTGCATTCATTGCATAGTTAGACTGTCTGAATTCAGATCCTGGCTCTTCCACTCCAACTGGTTGACTTTGGCAAGCTACTTAATTTCTCCAACTTTCTGTTTGTCAGCTGGGAGCATGATCTACTTCGTGGGGTTGTTTGAGGATTCAATGAGAAAATATTTATAAAGGGCTTAGAGGAGTACCTGAAATATGATGAATGCTCAATAAGTGTTAGTGATTATTGTACCAAGTCACAAATTTGAGGGAAACATTCTGTGTAAGTAGGACTAATTAAAATTATCTTTGAAATAGGTAATTCAATATGCATTTAAAGCTAGGACACTTTAGAGTAGCTGTTATTTAAATTGTGTGGTGGCTGGTCCGATGGTAGTGAGTTATCAGAACTTACTAACATTAGTGTCACTAAAGTTGGTATACAACCCCCCACTGCTAAATTTGACTGGCAAAAAAAAAAAAAATTGTATGGTGTCTGGTGTAGTGTGTTCACCACCACAGTGAAGGTACAGTTCCATCACCACAAGTAATTCTTGTGTTGCCTTCTTATAGTCACATTTATGCCCCTCCTACCCTCTTCCCCATCCCTAATCCCTGTCAGCCACTCATCTGTTCTTCATTCCTTTAATTTTGTCATTTAAAAAATGTTGTATCTGTGAAATTTTAGAATATGTGACCTTTTTAGCTTGGCTTTACCAAATGTTGCATGTATCAATAATTTGTTTCTTTTCATTGCTGAGTATTGTTACATGGTGTGGATGTACCACAGTTTATTTAATAGTTCACACACTGAGTTGTTTTCAGTTTTTGGCTATTATGAATAAAGCTACTATGGACATTTTAAAAAACAAACTGTGTGGTATATGAACTTGCTCTGGACATTATTTGAACTTTAAGGACAAATAATGCTACATATTTTGTTTATGTATTTATTTATTAATTAGAGAGGGTCTTACTCTGTTGCCCAGGCTAAAGTGCAAACAAAGCTCACTGAAGGTTCTAACTCCTGGGCTCAAGCTGTCCTCCTGCCTCTGCCTCTGGAGTGGCCAGGCTAAATCTTTTTGTTTGTTTGTTTTAAGAGATGGGGTCTTGCTATGTTGTCCATGCTAGGATTACATGTTTAATTTATGGAGTTTTGTGCAAGATATAAAGAGTATCCTATTCTGACATATTGAAATGGAAGATACAGGTTGAGCATCCCTAATTAGAAAATCTGAAGTCTGAAATGCCCCATAACCTGAAACTTTTTGAGTGCCGACATGTTGCTGGAAGGAAATAACTTTTCAATAATTCCTTTTGATGCAAATTGTATTTTAATTTTGTGTTTCTTTTTTTTCTTGAGAAGGTCTGAAATTCAGTGGCATGATCACAGCTCACTGCAGCCTTGACCTCCTGGGCTCATGCAACCCACTACTTCAGCCTTCTGAGTAGCTGAAGTAGGGACCACAGGCATGCACCATCACACATGGCTGGTTATTTTTTATTTTTTGTAGAGATAGAGTCTCACAGTGTTGTCCAGGCTGACCCCAGACTCCTGGGCTCAAGTGATTCACCTGCCTCAGCTTCCCAAAGTGTTGGGATTACAGTCATGAGCTACCATGCCTGGCCCTAATTTTAAAGTTCTATGAAATACTTCTGTTTACTTTAACCAATACTTGTTTAACAAGTAAAGGGCATGCAGCATTGTATTTGGGTAATTAAACATGAGAAATATAAAGCATAGTTTCAGTGAAAGAAGGTTAGTTTTACTAGGGATACAAGAAATGCACACTGAAAAATGGTACAAGGAAGTATATAAACAGGGGCTAAAATGAGTGGTACAGACTGGGTGATTGAGGAAAGCTATGTATACTGGTATATCTTCAAGGATTTTGTAGAACATTCTTGAGGGATTTTTTTAGACTTACTTAGAGATGAGAGCTCATTCAGCATACACACACACACACGCACACTCTGATTCCAGAAATGAGCTACTGATAACGGGTAACAGATATGTCATAACCTATGTGTTTCATAGGTATTTCAGGACCAAGAGGTTAAAAAAAACCCTAGTTTGAAAGGAAGTGAAATTTCTAGCATGCTCTTAAAGGAGGTGAGATGGGAAAAGGACGCTTAAGATAGGGAATACAGTTGAGAAGCAAAGCCCTGAAGATAAGAATATGTTTATGTCGTAGGTTGGAGAGAAGAATTATGAGGATAAGGAGAAGCTTAATTAGAAAGACCCAAAATACCCAGCAGAAGAGTTTAGGATTTGTCTTTTTACTGTAAAGGTTTTTGCTCAGATAACAATAAAGGGCTATTTCTGGGAAGAATGGATTACTCTTACATATGGAGAACTCTTAGTTGTGGCTAAGGAATTAGCTTTGTGAAAGGATGACAGATTCTTGAAAGAAAAACTCAGTAGAATGTGCTTAATGACTGTATGTTAAAGAATGAAGGAGAGGACTATATGAATTTAAGTTAGGAAATTGACAAGAATTTGAAAATGAATCAGTTAGCTTTTGGAAGAAGGAGGAAAAGGAGTTTGAATTTAGTTTTGAACATATACTGTGTTTGAGGTATCTGTAAGATATTCATAAAAGTGGGCTCTAGCCAATGAGTTTGTGTTTCTTTTTTTTCTTAAGAGGGTCTCGCCCTGTCTGTCACCCAGGCCAGAATTGAGTGGCATGATGACAGCTCACTGCAGCCTTGACTTCCTGGGCTCATGCAATCCTTCTACTTCAGCCTCTTGGTTTAAAAGTCAAAACTGGGGATAGGGAAGGGAGAAGAAAGAAAAAGAAAGGATTCCTTTATAGTGAGGAGAGGAATCAGTGAAACTGTGAGCATGGATTAACTTTTTAGTGCTTATAATTCTGGTTTTATTTCTTCTTTTGTAGACACACCATGGATTCTTATGATGTATCAGAATCAACTCCTAGACAAAGTACATCCTCAAGGCCTGAAGATTACTTTATAAGTGCCACTTTCCTGCAGAAACGATTAGAATCAGTTAGGAAGCAGACTTCATTTATCCCGCCTTCACCTCGAAGGAAAATTCCCCATTGTTCACAGTTACAGGTATGCTTTTTGTGTTCCTTTGTGTTAGTCAACAATTGAGGGTATCTGTGAACAAAACATTTCAATTTTTGTAACTATAGTATTCTTAGTATCTTCTTAACCCCTCAGCTAATAAAATAAATGAGAAGCAAAGAAACAGTTTCATAACTATCACTGCTACCTCTTTTATGTCTTTTATTTTTTATATTTTTATTTATTTACTTATTTTTAATTTTCAAACATAGAACCCATATATACCAGGAGTTTTTATGTGCTTTAATCTCCTTTAATTGGAATCATGTCCACCCTATTCTTTTTTTTAACTTTTATTTTAAGTTTAGAGGTATATGTGCAGGATGTGCAGGTTTGTTACATAGGTAAATGTGTGCCATGGGGGTTGGTTGTACAGATTATTTCATCACCCAGGTGTTAAGCTTAGTATCTGTTAGTTATTTTTTCTGCTTCTCTCCCTCCTCCCACCCTCCACCCCAATAGACCTCAGTGCTTGTTGTTCCCCACTATACGTCCATGTGTTCTCATCATTTAGCTCCCACTTATAAGTGAGAACATTTGGTTTTCTGTTCCTTTGGTAGTTGGCTAAGAATAATGGCCTCCAGCTCCATCCATGTCCCTGCAAAGGATATGATCTCGTTCATTTTTATGGATGCATAATATTCCATGGTGTATATGTACCACATTTTCTTTATCGAGTCTGTCACTGATGGGCATTTAGGTTGATTCCATGTCTTTGGTATTGTGAATAGTGCTGCAGTGAGTATACACATGCATGTGTCTTTATGGTAGACTGATTTATATTCCTTTGGGTATATACCCAGTAATGGGATTGGTGAGTCAAATAATATTTCTGTCTCTAGGTCTTTGAGGAATTGCCACACAGTCTTCCACAATGGTTGAACTAATTCAGACTCCAACCATCAGTGTATAAGCATTCCTTTTTCTCCACAAACTCACCAGCATCTGTTATTTTTTGACTTTTTATTTTTCTCCACAACCTTGCCAGCATCTGTTGTTTTTTACTGTTTTCATAATAGCCATTCTGACTGGTATGAGATGGTATCTCATTGTGGTTTTGATTTGCATTTCTCTGATGATCAGTGATGTTGAATTTTTCTTCATATGATTTTTGTTCTCATGTATGTCTTCTTTTGAGGAGTGTCTATTTATGTACTTTGCTGACTTTTTAATGGGGTTGTTTTTTCCTTTTTTTTTTTTGAGAGAGAGTCTCGCTGTGTCACCTATGCTGGAGTGCAGTGGCACAATCTTGGCTAACTGCAATCTCTGCCTCCTGGTCTCAAGCGATTCTCCTGCCTCAGCCTCCCAGGTGGCTGGGATTACAGGCCATCTACCACCACGCCTGGCTAATTTTTTTGCATTTTTAATAGAGACAGGGTTTCACCATGTTGACCAGGCTGGTCTGGAACTCTTGACCTCAGGTGATTCACCTTCCTTGACCTCCCAAAGTGCTGGGATTATAGGTGTGAGCCACTGTGCCTGGCCCATTTTTTTTTCTTGTAAATTTAAGTTCCTTATTGGTGCTGGATAGTAGACCTTGGTCAGATGCATGGTTTGCAAAAATTTTCTCCCATTCTGTAAGTTTTCTGTTTCCTCTATTGATAGTTTCTTTTGCTCTGCAGGAGCTCTTTAGTTTAATTAGATCCCATATGTCAATTTTTGCTTTCATTGCGATTGCTTTTGGTGTCTTTGTCATGAAATCTTTGCCTGTACCTATGTCCTGAAAGGTATTGCCTAGGTATTTTCCAGAGTTTTTATAGTTTTGGGTTTTACATTTGTGTCTTTAATCCACCTTGAGTTAATTTTTGCATATGGTATAAGGAAGGGGTCCAGTTTCAGTTTTCTGCATTTGGCTAGCCAGTTATCCCAGCACTGTTTATTGAATTGGGAACCCTTTCCCCATTGCTTTTTTTTTGTCAGGTTTGTCCGTAGTATTTCTTTGTCTTTAATGACACTGACATTTTTAAAGAATACAGTACAACATTCTTTTTTCTTTTTAAGTATTATGTTCCTCATTTTGTATTTGTCTGGTGTTTTCTCATGATTAAATTGAAATTATTATTTTTGGCTAGAGTACTGCATAGGTGCTGTGGTATCCTTGGGGAATCGCATCTGAAGGCACACAGGTGACATTAATTTTGATCAATCTGTTAAGAAGTTGTCCAGTTTCTTTAAGTACTTTTTTCCTCCTCTCTGCAACTAGGAAGTAGTTTGTGGAAAGACAACTTTAAGATAAGGCAGATATCCTGTTAATTGTCAAAATTTCTTCTTAGACTTGGTTTCCATTGATAATTTTTTCCTGATTCCATCTTTATCATGGTTACAAAATGATTTTCCAGCTCTAACACTCCCTCCATGTTTACCAGCCAGCCTTTGACAGTCTATTGTAACCCTTCTCTTCATTTATTTTTCTATTTATTATTGGTATGGGCTCATAAATTCCTTTTTTCAAGGATTTTTAAATTTATTGCTGAATTATTTTGGTATTTAAATTGACCCAGATTTGTCTGGTGACAACATGCTCTATTTTGATCATTCACAAACAACCCTGAAGGTATATAGCATGAATAATTTCTAATTTTACTGAAGCAGGAAATAAAATCCTATTCAATAAAAGGTTAGTGTATGGTTTTGAATAATTTAGCTAGGGGCCTGGGTGATCAGTCACTATCATTGTAGCTTTTTCTCTTGTCAGTAGTCTCATATCCTAAAGTATTGTTGAATATGTAGTATGAGGGATTAGACAAGTTTTGCTTTTTTGTGACAATTTTCTTTTTTTAAAAATTAATTTTCTTCTTAGAGATAGGCTTTCACTTAGTGCAGGTCCTCACTCTGTCACCAAGGCTGGAGTGCAGTGGCAGAATCATAGCTCACTGCAGCTTCCAACTCCTGGGCTTAAGTGATCCTCACAAGTATAGCTGGGACTGTATTCACATGCCACCATGCCTGGCTAATTTTTTTAAAGTTTTTTTTTTTAAAAAAAAAACTGGTCTCAGCCGGGCGCGGTGGCTCAAGCCTGTAATCCCAGCACTTTGGGAGGCCGAGGCGGGTGGATCACGAGGTCGAGAGATCGAGACCATCCTGGTCAACATGGTGAAACCCCATCTCTACTAAAAATACAAAAAAAAAAAATTAGCTGGGCATGGTGGCACGTGCCTGTAATCCCAGCTACTCAGGAGGCTGAGGCAGGAGAATTGCCTGAACCCAGGAGGCGGAGGTTGCAGTGAGCCGAGATCGCGCCATTGCACTCCAGCCTGGGTAACAAGAGCGAAACTCCTTCTCAAAAAAAAAAAAAAAAAAAAAAAACTGGTCTCAACTATGTTGACCAGGCTAGTCTTGAACTCCTGGGCTCAAGCTATCCTCCTGCCTCAGCCTCCTAAAGTGGTGGGATTACAGGTGTGAGCCACCATGCCTGGCTTTCTTTGTGACATGAAAGAAATTTCTTTCTTCCTCATCTATGTGTTTAGGTTATAATAAAACAGTTTATGGCCCAGTGCAGTGGCTCCTGCCTGTAATCCCAGCACTTTGGGAGGCTGAGGCGGGCAGATCACAAGGTCAGGAATTTGAGACCAGCCTGGCTAACATAGTGAAACCCCATCTCTACTAACAATATAAAAAAATTAGCTGGACGTGGTGGCATGCACCTGTAATCCCAGCTACTCGGGAGTCTGAGGCAGGAGAATTGCTTGAACCTGGGAGGTGGAGGTTGCAGTGAGCCAGGATCACGCCATTGCACCCTAGCCCAGATGACAGTTTGAGACTGTCTCTAAAATAAAATCAAATAAAACAGTTTATAACGTTTCAATGAATACTTTAGTCAGAACAAACATTTTTGTCAAGGAGACAACTGTAGTGAAAGTTCTAAAAGGTTGTTGGAGCTGTGAAAACTATGACAGGAAGTATGGACTCTATAAAAAAATTCAGTTTGGAAGGAAACTAGGAACCTATATGGGGGCATGAAGACCCTGAAAAATGTCATGGGGCCAATACAAATGAAGTATTTTTGTTTTTAATGGTACTTGTGGTTCTAATAGAGCATGGCAAAAAATATTCCCAAGTATGTTTTTTTCTTTTTTTTAGACTAGTGCAGTAGTGAGAGAGGGAAAGAGTAGAACAAGGAGTTGGAAACAAGGAGTTTGATCTATAACTGATTGTGAACAATCAGTTGAGAAAACTCACTCCCTTTGGACCAGCCCCTGAGTATCATTTTATTTAATCTGTTGAATTGGGCATGGTGTCATAGAGTAGATTTATAGCCAAACAGTTTTTTTTTTTTTTTTGAGACAGAGTCTTGCTCTGCCACTCAGGCTGGAGTGTAGTGGCGAGATCTTGGTTCACTGCAACCTCTACCTCCAGGATTCAAACAGTTCTGCCTCAGGCTCCCTAGCAGCTGTGACTACAGGCGCACACTACCACACTCAACTTTTTTTTCTATTTTTAGTAGAGACAGAGTTTCACCGTGTTGGCCAGACTGGTTTCAAACTCCTGACTTTGTGATCCACCTGCCTTAGCTTCCCAAAATGCTGGGATTACAGGCGTGAGCCCCTGCACCCAGCCTAAATCATTTTTTAAATTACTTAAAGCTAATCAAATTAGATACTTTAGGAATAGTTACTATTTTTGAAATCTATAATTTGAAGTTTCTAAAAATAAAACAACTTTTATGTTAAATATTTATTGAACACTTGTTCTAGATAGCATTGTTCTAGAGAGAACTAACTAGACAAAAATCAGTGCTGTCGTCAAGCTCATACTCTAGTAGAGAAGACAGAGAGTCAAAATAAAAAAAAAATTACAAGAATATAATGTTGGGTAGTGGTAAGTGCTGTGAAGAAAAATAAAGCCAGGTGAGGTGATACAAAAACTGAGATAGGTGCAGGTGCTACTTTCAATAGAGTAGCCTCTTGGGTTACATTTGGGCAGCAAACTTGAATGAAGTGAAGAAACATGTCACGTGAACACTTGGGCATTCTAAAGAGAAGGTACATTCTAAAGAGAAGGAGCTGCAAAAAGTCCTGCAAACTCATTTGGTTGGAGTGCAAAAATCAGGTACCCAATAATTGATTTGTATTAAATTTTTTTAATGCTATATTAAATTCTTACCAGTGTTTCCTAGTTTTAAACTTACTTTGTCTTTTTTTTTTTTTTTTTTAGGAAGATGTTGACCCTCAAAAGGTTGCATTCCTTCTGCATAAACAGTGGACTTTATATAGTTTAACTCCCTTATATAAATTCTCCTATAGTAGTATCAAAGAGTATTCTAGACTTCTGAATGCTTTTATTGTTGCTGAAAAGCAAAAAGGGCTTGCTGTGGAAGTGGGAGAAGACTTCAACATCAAAGTGATTTTTTCTACTCTCCTAGGAATCAAGGGAACACAAAAGGACCCTGAAGCATTGCTTGTCCAGGTATAATACGTAAACAATACTTGCTTCCTAGGGGAAAAGAATCTGCATTTTCTTTGTTTGGAAATTGTTGTGGTATTTTCTTCTGTTTTAAAATTTTTAATTTTGTGATTTATAGTGTATTTTGGGTCTTGTTTGACTAAACTAATAATTAGATCTAATCAACTTAAATTTTTTTCATATATATGTAGTTTGTGTACAAAATCATGTTTATTTTTAAAAACAGGAAATACATAAATACAAAAAAGTTAAAAATTATAGTTTAGCATTTTGGTATATATGTTTGGTTATCTGTATATATAGTCTTGAAATTGGGGTTGTATTGCCCATACTTTTGCATTATGACATTTTTACTAATATTGTAGACAATTACTCATATCATTAGGAATTCCATATTTTTGTGGTTTTTACTGGGACTAAATTTCTAGAAGTAGAATTTTAGTATAAAAATATATAGTATATCATTAAATATTGTGATCCTTCATGCCAGGTTACTCTCAGAGATGTAATATTTTAAGGCCTGGGTGCAGTGCAGTGGCTCACTCCTGTAATACCAGCACTTTGGGAGGCCAGGGCAGGCAAATCACCCGAGCCTAGGAGTTCAGCACCAGCCTGGGCAACCTGACAAGACCCCATCTCTACAAAAAATACAATAAATAAATACATCTGGTTTCTTCATCAATCAAGATAGTTCTGTTGCTCTTACATACTACTTATAGGAAGGAATATAAAATGTTGCATTTCTTTCTTTTTATTTGAGACAGGGTTTCGCTTTGTCACCCAGGCTGGAGTGCATTGGCATGATCTAATCAGCTTAGGAGGTTTACTGCAACCTCCTGGGCTCAAGTGATCCTTCCACCTTAGCCTTCCAAGTAGGTGGGACTACAGGTGCATGTCACTACACTCGGGTAAATTTTGTATTTTTTTTTAGACAGGGTCTTGCCGCGTTGCCCAGGTTGGTCTCAAACTTCTGGGCTCAAGTGATCCACCCTCCTTGGCCTCCCAAAGTGCTGGGATTACAGGCATAAACCACTGCACTCAGCCTCAGATTTATTTGGTTTATTATTCATGCCTGCTGCTTCTGTTTCTTTTGAGCTAACTAATTTTAATACTGGATAAGGAAATTAAGTTCTTAAACAGTTGAAAAGGACTGACTTTTTGTTTGTATAGATTAGGGGTCAGTAAACCATGGCCCGTAGGCCAAATCTGACCTGCTGCTTGCTTTTGTAAATAAGGTTTTATTGGAACATAGCCTCTTTTATTTACTTATGTATTGTCTGTGGCTGCTTTTGTGCTGTAACAGCTGAGTTGAGAAGTTGCAACAGAGACCATATTGCCAGCAGAGTCTGAAATGCTTATTGTCTGGCCCTTTACAGAAAAAATTTGCTGACCCCTGATATAGGGCATGGTATTGGCAAAGATCTCAAGATGTTCTAGGATTAGGTTTAGACTAAATAAGAGTGAATTAAATAAGTTAGTGGTATACTATCTTTTTTAAAAATTCGTAGAGGTAAGCTGTCCAAGGCTGGTATGATGCTTGATGAAATCATTAATAATCTAGGCTCTTTCTTCTCATTGGTGCATGGCTTTCATCCTAAAAGTTACCTTATGGTCTAACATAAGATGTCTCCAGCAGCTCTAAACATTATAGTCAAGTTCCCAGCAGGAAGTAGGAGAAAGATGGGAAGGACAAACAGAATCTGATGCAGAGTAAATCTTGCTGAGACCCAGTAACTTCTGTTTATATCTTAGTTGGAAGGGAGGCTAGAAAAGAATTTTTTTCAGTGGGTACTCTGCCAACTTAAGAGACTTTTTGAGGTAAGTTCTCACTCTGTCACCCAGGTTGGAGTGCAGTGGCACTATCTTGGCTCACTGCAACCTCTACCTCCTGGGTACAAGCAGTCCTCACCTCTCAGCGCCCCCGTCCCCCACCAAGTAGCTGGGACTACAGGCATGTGCTACCATGACAGGTTAATTTTTATATTTTTGTAGAGACAGGGTTTCACTGTGTTGCCCAGGCTGGTCTCAAACTCCTGAGCTCAAGTGATCCACTTGCCTCTGCCTCCCAAAGTTCTGGGATTGCAGGCATGAGCCATCTTGCCCAGCTGTAAAGGGACTATTTTATTGTGGAAGGACAAATGAATAATTGAGAGACAATTAGCAGTTTTTATCAAGTGAAGCAGCAGATGCACAGAGAGGTTTGTGACTTGCATGTTATCAGTCAAGCATATACCCTTGTGAGAATTAGAAATGACCTCTTGAATTCCTGGTATAGTGTTCTAATAGTTTTCAAATTAAATCCCATTTCTTGATAGGGTTACAGGACTCTTAGGTCATGAAAGTGTGATAAACATATCTAAACTTCTGGGTATTTGAGAGTCTTTGATAATTTCTTGAATAAGAAGGTAAAATATGGTAAAAGTAACTGTGTAAATGATCATATCTGAAGGGCTATTATACAAAGCTGTGATCTTAACCTTGGTTTGCTTAATGCTTGAACAGACTTCTGTGAGTATCTGGAAGGCATGTTTGTCGTGTAACTTAAAATTTAAAGTTTGAGAGGTTAGACAGTCAGCTAAAAATGTAATCAGAGATCCTAAATGATCTGCATGGATTGTCCAATGAGCCCAATCAAAAGAGATTAAAATTTTAGTAGGAATAAGTTTACTGCCTCAGTATAAGTTGGGAGAAATTTATCTATAACAGCAAATATGAATATACCGGGCTAGTTCATATAAAGCTGTCAACTAAAAACCAGAAAACTGCAATCTGCAATTACATTAACAGGAGTATAATCTAGGTTAAAGGTGGTGGTTTAGCCTTTAAAAAAAGGTCTTGCACTCAGACCTTTTTCCCCTCCTCCCTGAATCAGACCTATTTAAAGTAATGATGTTCACTGACGAATGATTCCTATGCAGAATAATTTCAGGGAAGAGTGACTAGAATAGTGAGAAAATGTGAAAGCATGTCATAGGCGGAATGGTTGAAGAAACTGGAAATGTTGAACTTAGTACTATATACGATAGGGACCATCAAATACTTGAAGGACTTTTCCTGTAGAAGGGAGATTAGATTTTATTATATTCTACATGCCCAAAAGGAAGAAAGCAGGACCAGTGGGTAGAAACCATAGGGTCTAACATATAAAAGAACATTTTAAGTTGATAGTCCTGCCTTGGGAAATACTGAAGTATTCCTCAATGAAAGAATTCAAACACGTTGGATTTTGTGACCTTTTACAGTTCTTTCTAAAGTTGAGGGTTTTTGTTTGTTTGTTTCAGGGTACTGTATCTGGTTATACCACATTGGTAGCTCTTACTTTGCATTTTGGTTACATCAAGATCTTATATCATGTTTCCACTGTTTAAGAATATTGGGGGCTGGGCATGGTGGCTCATTCCTGGAATCCTAGCACTGCCGAGGCAGGCAGATCACCTGAGGTCAGAGGTTCAAGATAAGCCTGGCCAACATGGTGAAACCCTGTCTCTACTGAAAATACAAAATTTCGCTGGGTATGGTGGTGCATGCCTGTAATCCCAGCTACTCAGGAGGCTGAGACTGGAAAATCACTCGAACCCAGGAGGTGGAGGTTTCAGTGAGCCGAGATCGCGCCACTGCACTACAGCCTGGGTGACAGAGTGAGACTCCATCTCAAAAAAAAAAAGGCCACTTATTTTGATAAGCCTTTTTAATCATTGGGGAGACTATCCTCTCTCTGTTTTTTCAAGTATTACATTGCACTGTTTTATTTTTAATGAACTAATTTTGAGAAGATGTAATTTAGAAGTAAATATACTTTTGAATTTAAGGAACCTGTTTACTTTCTTTTGTAGATTCTGTCAAAATCTCAATTGCCATCTGAGGATAGAGAAGGTAAAGTGCTGTGGACTGGCTGGTTCTGCTGTATATTTGGAGATAGTCTTCTGGAGACTGTTTCAGAAGATTTCACCTGTCTGCCCTTATTCCTTGCAAATGGAGCAGAGTCTAACACAGCCATAATTGGAACTTGGTTTCAGAAAACCTTTGACTGTTATTTCAGTCCTTTAGCAATCAATGCATTTAATCTTTCCTGGATGGCTGCCATGTGGACTGCATGCAAAATGGACCATTATGTGGCTACTACTGAATTTCTTTGGTCTGTACCCTGTAGCCCTCAAAGTCTGGACATTTCTTATGCAATACATCCAGAGGATGCAAAAGCTTTATGGGACAGTGTCCACAAAACACCTGGGGAGGTTACCCAGGAAGAAGTTGACTTATTCATGGACTGCCTTTATTCACATTTCCATAGGCATTTCAAAATTCATTTATCAGCCACAAGATTGGTTCGTGTTTCAACATCTGTAGCTTCAGCACATACTGATGGAAAAATTAAGGTTAGTTTGAACAATCTAGTTAAGTAATTTTTCCTTATTGCATGGTTTTAAAAATGTATGATGATTGTATTGTCCACATTGAAGAAACACATTTGAATGTATTCAAGACAATAGAGAGCCTTTATTTTATGCTTTATGGTTTACCAAACTCTTTACCTTCCAGATATAGCCTTACAATGGAAGGACACTATATGCTGTGTGCTTCTTTTTGGTAATAATATGAATTATTATTTTGTAGTAACTTTGAACCTTTCAAAATTGTTTCTCGTGAAATTTTGAAATAATGATCAGAGTAACAGAGAATGTTGTATGTTTGACCAAAATATATATATATATAGCCAGAAACATAGAACTAAGATGTCATCTTTATATTCTAGGCTTTTCTATCCTCATTGGGAAAGAAATAGTAGAGACATTGTTTTATTCTCTACAAAGTCATTTCTGATAAGAAGTATCAGAAATAAACTGAGAATTGGCTTCTAAAATATATTAAAATATACAGTCACAATATACATTCAGTAAATGTTTTGTGATCTTATCACTGTACTAAGAGTTTAACAGACCTTAAATTCTAATCTTTAGAGCAACCCGGTAGTTAGGTGTTTTTTTGTGGGTATTTTTTTTTTTTTTTTTGAGACAGAGTCTTATTCCATCAGTAGTGGTGTGATCTCGGTTCACTGCAACCTCTGCTTCCTGGGCTCAGGTGATTCTCGTGCCTCACCCTCCTGAGTAGCTGGGACTGCAAGCATGGAGCCACCACACCTGGCTAATTTTTGTATTTTTATCTTTTTTATTGATTGATTGATTGATTGATTGAGACAGTCTCGCTCCGTCACCAGGCGCCAGGCTGGATTGCAGTGGTGCGATCTCGGCTCACTGCAACCTCCGCCTCCCGGGGTCAAGCAATTTTCCTGCCTCAGCCTCCTGAGTAGCTGGGACTACAGGCATGTGCCATCACACCCAGCTAATTTTTGTATTTTTACTAGAGACGGGGGTGGGGGTTTCACCATCTTGGCCAGGATGGTCTCGATCTCTTGACCTTGTGATCTGCCCGCCTTGGCCTCCTTAAGTGCTGGCATTGCAGGCAGTGAGCTACTGCACTCGGCCTACTATTTTTATTTTTATTTTTTGAAGTAGAGTCTCTCTCTGTCACTCAGGCTGGAGTGCAGTGGTGCGATCTTAGCTCACTGCAACCTCCACCTCCTGGGTTCGAGTGATTCTCCTACCTCAGCCTCTCGAGTAGCTGGGACTACAGGTACCTGCCACCATGCCCTGCTAACTCTTGTATTTTTAGTAGAGACAAGGTTTCACCATGTTGGCCAGGCTGGTCTCGAACTCCGACCTCAACTGATCCACTTGCCTTGGCCTCCCCAAGTGCTGGGATTACAGGTATAAGCCACCATGCCCGGTTAGCTAGGTGGGTTTTTTTTCTTTTTTTTCCTTTGAGATGAAGTCTTGCTCTGTTGCTCAGGCTGGTGTGCAGTGGCACTATCTTGGCTCACTCCCAGATTCAAGCAATTCTGCCTCAGCCTTCCAAATAGCTGGGATTATAGGCGCTCACCAGCAGGCCTGGCTAATCTTTGTATTTTTAGTAGAGCTGAGGTTTCGCCATGTTGGCCAGGCTGGTCTCAAACTCCTGACCTCATGATCCACCCGCTTCGACCTCCCAAAGTGCTGGATTACAGGTGTGAGCCGCTCCGCCCAGCCAGTTAGGTGTTTTAATCCATATTTTAACACAAGGAAACTGAGGCCAAGATAGGTTTAAATGACAAACGATAGTTTATAAGAGGAAGAATCAAGATTTGAACTCTTATCTCTTAGATCCAAGAAGTCAGTACTGTGTCTTTAAGCACTCTATTCATGCTTTTCAAACTGGAGGTCACAGTGCAACAGTCGGTTGGGAAATAATTTTGATGGGAAGAGACCAACATTAAAAAATGAAAAAGGAAAGAAATAGAAACTATAAAAATGAGTGGTTTGTTTTTTGTTTTAAAGACAGAGTCTCACTCTTTCACCCAGTCTGGAATGCAGTAGCGTCATTATAGTTCACTATAACCTTGAACTCCTGGGCTTAAGTGATCCTCCTGCCTCAACCTTGTGAGCAGCTGGGACTATAGGTGTATAGCACTACACCTGGCCTTTTTTTTTTTTTTTTTTTTTTTTTTTATTGAGATGGAGTTTCGCTCTTGTTACCCAGGCTGGAGTGCAATGGCGCAATCTTGGCTCACTGTAACCTCCGCCTCCTGGGTTCAGGCAATTCTCCTGCCTCAGCCTCCTGAGTAGCTGGGATTAGAGGCACACGCCACCATGCCCAGCTAATTTTTTGTATTTTTAGTAGAGACGGGGTTTCACCGTGTTGACCAGGATGGTCTCGATCTCCTGACCTCGTGATCCACCCGCCTCAGCCTCCCAAAGTGCTAAGATTACAGGCTTGAGCCACTGCGCCCGGCTATTTTTTAATTTAAAAAATTTTTTGTGGCAACGAGGTCTCCCTTTTTTGCCCAGACTGGTCTTGAACTCCTGGGCTCAAGTGATCGTCCTGCCTTGGCCTCTTAAAGTGTTGGGATTATAGGGATGATCCATTGTATCTGGCCAAAAATGAGTTTATTGCATGTGGTAAACTTAATGAATTAAATTCAGAAACTACACCAATATTCGTTGATTATTCAAATATCAATCTGCTTTGTTATAATTAACACTATTCTAACTTTAAGTGTCTTCTTTTTCTTTTTGCAGATTCTGTGTCATAAATACCTTATTGGAGTGTTAGCATATTTGACTGAACTGGCAATTTTTCAGATTGAGTGAGGCCTTATGTGGACTATAAGTTACAGATTATATGCTCTTTTCTTATTGACTACTTGCCTAATTGCTGTGCTGAAAGAGACTGCAGGAGAAATAGGCATCTATCTCTTCATCTGTTTTCCCCACCATGCCTTTGGAATTGCCAAGATGGAAGCGAAGAAGGATCTAGAAGAACAAAGAATATGGTAGTAGATGAGCCACAGTCAGGTGCCCATGTTCTAATCATGATGATCTGGCATGCCACTCTCAAAATGCTGAGTTGTTAATTTCTTGTCATCTTTAAATATGTCTGTATAGGCTGTGCTTGGTGACTCACACCTGTAATTCCAGCACTTTGGTAGGCTGAGGTGGATGGATCATTTGATGTCAGGAGTCTCAAACTAGCCTGGCCAACTTGGTGAAAATCTCTACTGAAAATACAAAAATTATCTGGGTGTGGTGGTGCATGCCTATAATCCCAGCTACTGGGGTGGCTGAGGCAGGAGAAATGTTTGAACCCAGGAGACAGAGGCTGCAGTGAGCCAAGATTGTGCCACTGCACTCCTGCCTGGGCAACAGAGTGAGATTCTGCCTCAAAAAATAAAAAAATAAATAAATATAGTGTTTATTGTGTTTAAGCGCTTAGGATTCAAATGAGATATATCTAATGGATATTTCTGATTTGGGTCTTTAAAAATCTTTAAAAAGCATTTTAGACTTGCATTCAGAAAGAACTGTCTTCTAAAGACATTTTCCTAGCCATTTCCCTGCAGAGAACTGGCAATCAAAATATCCTCAAAAGGGAACTAAAGATTAATATACACATTGTTTTAGCCATGAATATGCTTCTGTTTTAAATACAGTTCAACTCCTGTTGCAATGTTGAATTAAATGTTTATTTTAAAATGAAGCAATGTGCTTATCAATGTCTCGATGACATCTTTTAATTAATATCTCAGTAGTGGAAATTGGTAGGCTTTTTCTATTAACACAGGGAGTACAGACTAACAGTAACATAGAATCATACGAATTACAGAGTTCAAAGCCACCTGTGAGCCTCTTTTGAGGTCAGAGATTATTTAACCTTCATGTCCCAGTTTAGCATAATGCTTGGTAAATATCTATAGATTAAATCAGTTTTAATCAATTCTTTCTTTTTACAGATGAAAACTCTGAGATCGAGCAACTTAAGATACTTGCCCAAGATGTTTTATCTAAATCTCCTTTTTTTACTTACTGAGCATAAGATTTTCTTTTACTTTAGAAACAATGTTTTAAAAATCTTGAATGAAAATAACTTTAATAGGCTGTCATTCTCAAAAAAAAAAAAGATTACTGGAAGGGGATATTATTTCAGATATACTAGGAGCAGCAGAGGTAATGGGGAAAGCATGGGTTTTGGAGTCAGACATTCAACTAATATTAAATTCCTACAATGTGCTTAGAATTGTAATGGGTAATAGGAATACAGCAGTGAAGAAATGAAAGAAAGGTCTCTGTTCTGAGGAAATTATATTCTAGTGAAGTAAGGCAAAAGGTAAATAATTTCAGATGGAGACAAATGCTATGAAGAAAGTAAGGCAGTGCAGTATGAAAGGCATATGCAGTATAACTACTTCCATACAGTAGTCAAAGAAGGTCTGTCTGAGGAAGTGACCTTTGAACTGAGTCCTGAATGATGAGATGGAACTAGCCATGTGAAGATCTGAGGAACAGTGTGCTAGGCAGGAGAAACCTTGAGATAGGTAAGAGTTTGGCTGCTCTGAGGAATAAAGGAAGTTTTTTGGCCAGAGCATAGTAAGAGTGTATCGCATGGTATGAGATGAAACTGAATAGGCTGTGTGGCAAAGACTTCTTCCATGGCATAATATCTCCCAGTTTTTGGCCAGGGCACCTAGCTGGCCAGAATAAAGATGATATTTTCCAGCCTTCCTAGTAGGTAGGTATAGTCATATGAATAAGTTCTGATCCATGGGATACAAATTGAAGTAGAGCTTCCAGGAATCTTACCTATAATGAAAAACAGCTGGCATGTACCCCTTACTCCTTTTCTTACTTTTCCCTTCTTCCAACTTTGCTGCCTGGAATATTGATATTATGACTAGTACTACAGCTATTCTCTTAGGTCATGGGGATGAGGAGCAAGTCCTAGAGATGACAGAGCATGGCTTGGGAGGAGCTTGTGCCCTGGGGTTTTCTTGAAGGTAAACTCCAGAGACAGTCTTCCTCTAGACTTACTTGTCAGAGAAACAAACCTCTATCCTGTTTTAGCTGTTGTCATTTTGGGTCTTTCTTGGTCATAGTCAAACCTAATCCTAACTTTATACGGAGGCAGGAGCTACATCATCTGTTTTTAGAGTGTGAAGAGACTGGATTTTACTCTAAATGCAATGGGAAGCCACTTAAGAGAGTAATATGATTCAATTAGTATTCTATAGGATTTTATAAGATATGAGGGAGAATGGGTATAGGTAGATAAGAGTGGAAGAAGGGAAACAGTTAAAAGGTTATTGCAAATAATGTAACCCTAATGGAGAAGAAGTTAGCAATATTGAACAAAATTATGTGTGCAGTCACCTTTTGATTAGCAATTCATCTTCTAGGATTCTGTCTTAAAAATTCACTGGCAAAAAAATACAAAACGAAGCACATATAAGCTTACTTATTACAACAGTATTTGTAATAGAAAGACTAAAAACAACTCAAATGCTCATCAGGCCTAGTATAGCTGCAAAATGAATTACTACTATGCAACTATAAAAAGGATTGGGGAAGATATCTCTTTACTCTCATGGTATGATCTCCAGGATATGTTGTTATGTGAAAGAGCAATATATGTGGACAGAGTGTAGAGTATGCCACTTTTTATGTAAGGAATGAGAGAGATATGAGTGTGTATTTCCTTATGCTTTCAAAAAGCAATGTAAGGATAAACCACAATCTTATAAATGTATTTACTTATAGGGAGAAGGAAGGAACAGGGTAGAGGAGACAGGAATGAAAGTTAATTTACCTGAATGTTCTTTTTTGATAGTTTAGAACCATGTAAGTGTTTTATATTAATTATGAAACAAAATTAGAAGAAAAGGAAAAAACAAAGCAATCCTTAGCAACTAAAACAAATGAGCCTAACTATATTAAGTTCATAATCACACAAATTTTTTTTGTTCTTTTTTGAGACAGGATCTTGCTCTGTCCCCCAGGCTGGAGTGCAGTGGCACAATCACAGTTCACTGCAGCCTTGACCTCCCTGGCTCAAGCATCCTCCAACCTCAGCCTTCCAAGTAGCTGAGACTACAGGCATATTGCCACCATGCCTGGCTAATTTTTTAATTTTTTTAGAGATGGGGTCTCCCTATGTTGTTCAGGTTGGTTGCAAACTCCTGGGCTCAAACAGTCCTCCTGCCTTGGCCTCCCAAAGTGCAGGGATTACAGGCATGAACCACTGCAGTCAGCCCACACAAAATTTTTTCCATATCTTTTAAATTAAATTTAATAAATTTATTTTTTGAGACAGGGTCTAGCTCTGTGGCCCAGGCTGGAGTGTAGTGGCACAATCTTATCTCACTGCAGCTTCCGCTTCCTGGGCTCAATCCATCCTCCCTCCTCAGCTTCCTAAGTAGCTGGGACTACAGGTACCTGCCACCACGCCCAGCTAATTTTTTCTATTTTTGATAGAGATGGGGTTTCACTATATTGTCCAGGCTGGTCTTGAACTGCTCCCATCTCAGCTGAGGCTCAAACAATCCTCCTTCCTTGGCCTCCCCAAATGCTAGGATTATAGGTTTGAGCCACCACACCTCACCTTTATTTTATTTTATTTTAGTGATGGGATCTTGCTGTATTGCTTAGGTTGGTCTCGAACTCTTGGCTCAAGTGATCCTCTCACCTCAGCTTCCTGAGTAGTTGGGACTACAGGCATATGCCACCACATCTGGCCTTTTTTTTTAATTTAATAATTTTAATTTTTTTTTTAGAGTCAGGGCCTTCTTGTGTTGCCCAGGCTAGTCTTGAACTCCTTGGCTCAAGTGATCTTCCCCTCTTGGCCTCCCAGAGTGCTGGGATTGCAGGCATGAGCCACTGCACTGGCCTGGAGTATCTTTAAATTTGTGGTATTTTGGTTGTTTATTCTAGCAGGCTCCATCCTAGAAAAAGAAGAGCAGTAAATAAATTTTAAATCACATTCAGTTGTCTATTATTATTTTGGCACTATTTATAATAAGATAAAGTGTATGTAATTATTCAGGTTTTCAGTGTAGGCCAGGCATGGTGGCTCATGCCTGTAATTCTAGCACTTTGGGAGGTTGAGGTGGGTGGATCATCTGAGGTCAGAAGTTTGAGACCACCCTGGGCAACATGGCAAAACCCTGTATCTGCAAATAATTAGCCAGGCATGGTGCCACGTGCCTGTAGTCCCAGCTACTTGGGAGGCTGAGGTGGTAGAATCACTTGAGCCTGGGAGGTGGAGGTTGCAGTGAATCAAGATTGTGCCACTGCACTCCAGCCTGGGTGACACTAAAAAAAAATTTTCAGCATAAAAAATACACAATTATAAAATCAAGTGAGTAAAAACTGTAATATTTAATTGGGAATATCAGAATTAACTCTTTTTTTTTTTTTTTTTTGAGATGGAGTTTTGCTCTTGTTACCCAGGCTGGAGTGCAATGGCGCAATCTTGGCTCACCGCAACCTCCGCCTCCTGGGTTCAGGCAATTCTCCTGCCTCAGCCACCTGAGTAGCTGGGATTACAGGCACGCACCACTATGCCCAGCTAATTTTTTGTATTTGTAGTAGAGACGGGGTTTCACCATGTTGACCAGGATGGTCTCGATCTCTTGACCTCGTGATCCACCCGCCTCGGCCTCCCAAAGTGCTGGGATTACAGGCTTGAGCCACCACGCCTGGCCTCAGAAATAACTCGTTAAGTGCAAAAGTTTTTTCATGAAGTGTAGTCGATCAATTTTTTTTTCTTTTATTGCTTGTACTTTTGGTGTTGATAAGAAGCCATTGCTTAACCTGAGGTCCTAAAGGTTTACTCTTTTCTCCTTAGGATTTTCTAATTTTAGCTCTTAAATTTAGGTCTGCTGTTTTAAGTTAAATTTTATGTATGGTGTGAGGTAGGGGGTCCAAATTCATCTTTTTGCATGTGGATATTAATTTGCTTCAGCACCATTTGTTGAACTGACTTTTTTTCCTATTGACTTGTCACTTTTTTCAAAAATCAATATTTCACGAATGTTTGGGTTTATTTCTGGACTTTATTTCATTGATTTACTTGTCACTTCTTATGCCAGTATGACACTATCTCAATTACTATAGCTTTGTAGTGAGTTTTGAAATCAGGAAGTGTGAGACCTTCAACTTTGTGCTTTTTTCCAAGGTTGTTTGGCTGAGTCTTTTGCATTTCCATAAGAATTTTAGGATCAGCTTGTCAATCTTTGCAAAAAAAAAAAAAAAAACAAAAAAACTAGCTGGGATTTTGATAATGATTGTCTTGAATCCATAGAGCAATTTGGGGAGTGTTGCCGTCACCTTCTAATCTATGAGCAGGATGTTTTTACATTATTTAATCTTCTTTAAATATTTTATTCTTTTAGATCTATTGAGAATGGAATCATTTTCCTAATTTCATTTTCAAATTGTTGCTAGCATATAGAAATACAAGTGATTTTGTGTATTGCTCTTGTATCCTGTGACTTTGCTGAACTTGTTTATTTTAGTAGTTTTTTTCACTGAATTCTTGAGGATTTTCTACATATAAGATTAATATCTGTGAATAAAGACAATTTTCTTAATTTTTAATCTTTTGTTTCTTTCTTTTTTTTTTTTTTTCCAAATTGCCTTGGCTAGAATCTCCAGTACAATGGTGAACAGAAGTGGTAAGAATGTACATTTTAGTCTTGTTTTTAGTGGGAAAGCATCATAGCTTTTACCATTAAATATGTTGGCTGTAGGTTTTTTCATAGATGTCTTTTATCAAGAATGATCCTTTCTATTCCTAGTTTGTTGAGGGGTTTTATTATAATAGGCATACTTTGTCAGAATTTTTTTTCTGTATCTATTGAGGTTATTCATGATTTAGTTTTCTTTTGCTAAAAAACACATAGCTTTGTTTACTGGAGATGCCTGGAAGTAGTAAAAAGCCATTAACAATGAACATTATTAATATACAGATTATGTTCTGTAAGTATTTCCCACTAAAAGGAGCTAGAACTTCTTGAGGAAGGGCTCAGGTTTGGGAAATGTATA